AAAAAAAAATTAGGTTCAGTGGTATCTGACACAGCCCCAGAAATGCCACGAGGTGAAACAGCCCTGAGTGTTATTTGTTAATTCAGCAGAAACTTCACTGAGTCCCTCTTGGGTGTCAAAGCAGGGCTGGGGCTCCGGAGGCTCAGGACAAGTCAGTCTCTATCCCTGCCCTCCTTAGTTGAATATGGAAGACTCATAAAAGAACTTGCAGCATGGGCAAGTGAAGGGAGCGCAGCAGAGAGTTGAGGAAGGTGCATGGGACTTCGTCTGGAACTCCCTCAGACTTTTCCACTGAAAGGCACTAAGCAAACGTCGCTGTCTATTGACGTAAAAGGTACTTGGGGACTGAGATTAAGAAAAAAATCTCAGGCAAACCTTTGGAAAAATAAAGAAATTGGTAATGAGTATTTATTGTTTACTGAAGTCTATGGCTTCAGGCGCAGTTGGATCTAGAGGCTCAGACAGTGTTGTCAGGAATCCTACATCTGGGAAGATGGCCCCCAGTGGCTCCAGCCAGGTAAACCACCAGCTTGGCACCCCCGGTGAGCACACAGGCTGGGGTTGACTCTCACTGGCCCAGGTTTGGCCACGTGGTATTCGTCTCAGCCTGGGGCCTAAGAATCTGCTGATTGGTTGGATGTGGATTGTGGACACCACCGTGGGGCTGGGCACGAGGGTGGAGGCTGGGGCGGTCATCTTCACCCAAACCCGAAGACTGTGAGACAAGGGAGAGAGCGACTCCCACAATGGCAGACAAGGAGAGGATGCCAAGTAACAGATGTGTATACCTAGAGGCTCGTTTGGGAGGTGGCGCAGGACCTGGGACCGAGGAGGGAGAGTAGAGGAACAAAGGCACCTTTCCCTGGGGAACAAGGGCAGTGCATGTAGGAGGCCCAGCATGTGCGGAGGTGGAGCAGCATGAAAGCGTGCAGTCTGTGCCGCGAACACACGTGTTGGCAGAGTGTGTGGGGGAGGCTGCGGCCACAGGGTCCGGGATGAGGCGAAGTGGCCGAGGAGTTAGGTCAGCCCATCAAGGGCCTCGGCTGTCGTGCTAAGGTGGTGGGACTAACTCAGGTGATGGGAACCATGGAGGGGGAATGTTCTTCCTCATCTTCCTGACAGCCCTGACTGCTTTGGGGTGCTCCTTTCCATCTACAGTCCCGTGCCACAGTACCGTTTCACCATGCTTTATCCCTTGGGGTTTTCCCTCTTTCCCCTCCACCTCTGCCCCTGTACCCCAGCTGTCTCCTACCCCGCCTATCTCTGATTGGCTCTTGCTGGAAAGTCGTTGCAGCAGAGCTCTTCAGGGCATGGGTTTGGGAGGCAGGCAGGTCAGCGTTTCTGCCCCGATCCTGTTGCTTCCTAGCTGTGAGAACACTCTGAGCCTTCGCTCCTGCATCTGTAAGATGGAATAATTGCAGCAGTCTCACCTGGGATTGTTATTAGGATGAACTGAGGGAAGGAAAGTAAAGCCTTTGCACAGAGGAGGTCTCCATACATGATACCTGGTATTATTACTATTTTACTTCATGTTTGTTTGTTTTGATTATCCATTGGTTTTATTGTCCATTGCAACCTGAATCCGCACTGATGTGTTTTCCAGTGGAACTGGTGGGAGGAACCTGTGAGTCCTTTGGCTGGGTTCCCTTTCGCTGCAGGAGGAACCCAGGAAATGGCAAACAAATCCTGGGCTTTCACCTCGATTGCTTCACATGGCCTGGAAGGACTTTACTTTCTGGAAGAAAACCCCAGGAATGAGGGAGGAGGGGCAAAGGGGGCGAAGACAGAGCAGGATCTGAGCAGCATCTTCCAGGATGTTTACCGGTAGTGTGGAACAGGAAGGACAGGCCAGCCAGGCAGTGACAAGAGCTTGTTTCCTTGGAGGGCAGGAGTGTCAGGGGAGAGGGGTGAGCAGAACGGCGGGGAGAGGGGTAAGCAGAACGGCGGGGTGAGGCGAGGGGGAGATGATTCCTTCGCCCGTGGAACTCCTCCCTCTGCACAAAAATTGCCTGACACAGCTAGGAAGGGACTGAAGCAAGAGAACAGAGTGAAATCACATTGCACCAAAGTTTTATAATGGGGCGGTCAAGAGTTTTTTAACTGTGGAGCCAGACTGCCTGGCTTTCATTCTAGCCTCAGCTGCTTACAACTTTTTTTTTTACCCACCCCCACAGGGAAACTTTTTTTTTTTTTTTAGGGTCAGGGTCTCAGTCTGTCACCAGGCTGGAGTGCAGTGTCACGATCATAGCTCACTGTAACCTCAAGCTCCTGGGCTCAAGCGATCCTCACACCTCAACCTCTTGAGTAACCAG